TAACGATAGAGCTCAATAATATATAACAAATTAAGAATGTTGCATTTTAGCGCCAACGAATGGAGATCATTGTATTATTCCTCAATCCTATCTACCTATAGAAATGAAAATTGGAACTTTGAAAAAAGAATAAAATATTTAAATGTATTAAATCAATTGCATGTGAAGGTTTGCTGAATGCCTGAAACAGGAATGTGTCATAAATATACTTGCATTAAAGCTCGCACGTTAATATAACTATAAAGAAACAATAACAAACAACAACATACGCGCGGACGTAAATTCGACATAAAAACAACATGAATAGAAAAATAAAACTAGTGTCAATCAGTACAGTCCATAGAATGCTATTAATCTGTGTCAAATGATAATTCAGATCAAACGTTTCGGAGTCCAGCCCCATCGTCAGTACAAAACCTAGAACACAGGTACAAAAAATTAGTAACCTAAAATTCACATTAAAAAAATTCCCCTAAACTTAAGGACTTTCGAACAAAATCGAAAGTAAAACAAGCATAAATGAGACAACATGAGCAGAAGGTACTCTCTATTTACAATTTGTAGAGGATAGGAACCAAAAGCAGTATTCAAACTAGGATTCTGTTTAAAAATATACAATGATTTTAAAATTCTTAGGTCTGAAACACCGGTTGTGGAGGCTAAAACTCTAAAATCACTATTGGACACCGGGACGTTGCACTGCTCGGCATGAATACGTACAGCTGAATGAGGGATATGCGCAAATATGTTCCCTGTTCAATAACATTTTTTTTTTGCTTAGTGCTTAGTCAATTTATCCGTTCACATCCTTTCTTGTATATGATTATTTTTCGCTTGCTATTAATCTTATGTGAGACGTGCCCGTCAAGTTCGTTTGAACCAGACGCCACGATAAATGTTTCGTAGAATAATAAAAAGGATAATAATGATAATAATGATAATAATGATAATAATAATAATAATAATAATAGTAATAATAATCTTAATAATAAAAAAAATAATAATGATACATTTATCAATTTGCCCACTAAAGTGACTAAACATTTCGGGAGTTCGAAGAGAAGAGATTGGAGGCGATAAAAATTTCAAGTTAGTTGAAATAATTTTTTACTTGAACCACAAAGTTTGATAGGACTGCTTTAAGGTGGCTCACAGACTCGACTTATAGTATCGAAACACTATTTTTTCTCTGAATCGTTTTAGGTAGCTGATTTATTTCTAAACTTTCATATTCATAGTTAATGGTAGAAACTGAAATAGCCAATATCGACTTATAAGCTCGCTGTGTGCTACCGACTTACATGGGACATCATTCTTAAGGTATTCTCGCGTTGAAGTCGACTAGGGAGTTGGCGGTGAAGAGTTGGGAGTCGAAGGGACAGGACGCGGCGGCGGCGGCGGTGAAGTTCAGTGCGACGGTGGAGACGTAAATGCAGCCCACGTTGTCCAAAACAAGTTCCCCCAAACAATTTCCATGCGATGTACAAAGGATGATTCGAGCCTTTCCAATCGTTTTTGATGGAGGAAGAAAAAGTAACTCGTTTTATAAGTGAATATAAAACCACACTGTCACGTGCCATACATGAATATGTTTCGTGGACAAGGTCGAAGGCGTCTGGAGACATGCCGCTGCAGGCGCCTGGGACGAGCGTCACAATTGAGACTTGGCACGTGTGAGAAATAGACTAGCCTCATCATCACTACCCTCACTCCCACTACCCTCACTCCCACTTCCCTCACTCCCACTACCCTCACTCCCACTACCCTCACTCCCACTACCCNATCTGTCTCTTATACACATCTAGATGTGTATAAGAGACAGCCACTACCCTCACTCCTACTACCCTCAACATATTGATTGACAGCAATTTTCACTCCTGTTTACCTCGGAACTGCTCAATATCTTAGTACATCGTAGCTGATCTTCAAACTCGTTCATTTGGAAAGGCTTGTAGAAATTTATTTGTGGTTAACAATACCAGCAGGAAGCGCCAGAATTAGACCATGAAGTGATATATACATAAATCAGGAAATAATAAAACATTTCAGATACACGCAAGGTTGCCTTTATATTTCGTATTGTTTTAATCCACTCCTAAATTATAAGTGTATAAAAAATTTCAGATACCTTAACTCAGTTTCCTTTTTTGACGGAAATCGAATTTTTATATGATAGGTTAACCTTATAACATCATCAATCATTGTTTGCATGAATATCGATAGAAATTAGAATGTAGACTTTTACTGTCGTAGTTCACTGGATGACGCCAGTTGATTAACTATCTCATATATTAGCGAGGTTCATCTCTTACATGAATGCGTCCAGGGCACTTGCAGTACCGTAAAGAAGAAACATTCATGAAAAGATTTAGTAATCCTCCGTATATAGCGTGGAAAAATACGGCTAAATGTTTGTGCTACAGTGCAGTTTCACGCACAAAAGCTGCCGCAGCTTTCCTTCTTAAAGAATGTAGTGCCCGTCTAACAATTAAAAAAACTATAAGAAGCATTTTTCTTTCCAACACAAACATGTCAATGTAAATAAGGCTTATAGCTTTAAATTAATATAACGCCTAGAGTTCGTTCTCTATTTTATTTTTACGTTCTCTATTGTTATGTATCATAGATATCTCTAGTTATTCGTCTAAGCGAAATAAGGTTGGCTTTGCACTATTATACCAAATATTCGCAATATAATTTTGATATGAATAAAATTTGTACCAAACTTCCAAGACACGGAGAGGTTGGCTGGATCTATCACGCTATTTTGTAGTATACGTGGAGAGTTTTTATTGCTATAACTATTTTTCTTCATTTAGTGGTATTTGTTATGACTGACATCCAATATGATGTTCTTAGCGTCTAATATTCCCATTACAATGAAATCAAGTGACCAAAAACTGGAATGGGGAAGTAAGATAAGGCAAATATGACTGACAATAAAGAGATGGATATGATGTAATGCTTCCTATAACACCAATAGTGATCAATAATGAACCTCGATTTCTATTCTATATGTTGCATTTTTAAGCCAATGGGTGTCCATTGTTCGATTAATCCTCAAGCCTATAACTTTGAAGATTGAAAATTGGAACGTTTAGAAACGATTACAATGTTATATTGTAATCGTGATATATGTCACTATCCGAGTCGTGCATATATTACACCACATATTATCAAATTTTAATTGATTTCAAAAGCAAGGAGTGTCTTAAATGCGATTATACTGATTATATATTTCTATTTCTTATAAAATATGAAGAAGGGTTATATGAGCAATACACACGGACATAAATTCGAGCTGAAAATAACACGAGTTGAAAGACAAAAGTGAAGTTAGGAGAATTTGATTCTCCGTGCCACATGATAATTGAGAGTCACACATTTACAAGGTCGAAATTCAATCTAATGTGAACTGAACTGTGAAGACATTGGTAGGGATTAACTAGAAGATGGTAGGATTGCAACTTATTGCAGGCCAATGCGTGCGTCCTAATGACTTAGGATTAATAAGTAAACGAAATTTCGGAGCATGAGTCTCGCTCTGCTCTCACTTGAGCAGAGGGAATAATGCTCGGGGAATAATTCAACTCATTCCCCGAATGCTATGGTAATGCGGGGTATTCAACTGAATAAGGGAAATGTCTAAGTAATTCGTCTAAGTGAAATAAGGTTGGCTTTGCACTTTTATACCAAATATATATTGACAATAAACTTTGAGATAAATAATATTTTTACAAAGCTTCCAAGACACTGAGAGGTTGACTGGATCTATTAAGTTATTCTGTAGTATACGTAGAAAGTCATATTATTGCTATAACTATATTTCTTTATATATTGGTAGTTGTTATGACTGCATCCGTTCTGGTGCTATTGGCGTCTAATATTTTCATAACATTTAAATCAGGGAGCGAAAGACTGGCCTGTGGAAGTAAGATAAGTTAATTAAGAATGACGATAAGGAGATGAATTTGGATGTTCATGCTTCCTAAATCCCAAAAGAGATTAATAATGAACCATGAATTCTATATATTGCATTTTCGAGCCAATGAGTGACCATTGTTCAATTATTCCTTAAGCCTTTAACTTTGAACATTGTAAATTGGAACGTTTAGAAACAATTACAATGTTATATATGTCATACATATACAACTTATACAAGATATTAGTAAAATTTTAATGGATGTTAAAATCAAGGAGCGTCATCAATACGATTATACTGGCTATATATCTCAATTGCTTATAATAATATACAGTAGTGTTATATGAGCAATACACAAGGTCATAAATTCGAGCTGAAAATAACACGAGTTGAAAGACAGATGTGAAGTCAGGCATAGTACTGAGAATTTGATACTTCGTGCCATATGATAATGGCAATTCAAACTTATAAAAGGTCGAAATTCAATCTAATGTGAACTGAGCTGTGAAGACATTGGTAGGGATTAACTAGAAGATGGTAGGATTGCAACTTATTGCAGGCCAATGCGTGCGTCCTAATGACTTAGGATTAATAAGTAAATGAAATTTAGCAGCTTGAGTCTCGCTCTGCTCTCACCTAAGCCGCCAATGCATCACCTCGTAAGTAAGTCAACTCACGCCCCACATTTTGTGGTAATGTGGATTAATTAACGGGATCAGGGAAATGTCGCCAAGACTGGAAATTTAGGTTATGTAACGACGATTGTGAATGCGCGTCAGAAATCCCGATTCCATTGCAACGATGATTTACAATAAATAAAGCCAATTTATTCGCCGATATAGGAGGAAGAGCTACATCAGCCTTCTGCAAGCGTTACACATAAATTCATTCCATTTTTTTTATGGTGGAGGTTGGGATATCGTATCAGCGGTCTAACTTTTTTGGCTCCTACTGTTTGCTAGGAATGGCAGGTATGAAAGCAAATCGGATAATTTTAAAGATTTGCGCCAGAATAAACATAGTTATTTGTTGACTGATGGCGATAGGAGCGCATTCATGTCATTTCAAGCCAGTGAATTCAAATCTGCTTACACAGAAACATGTAGGCTTTGGCACAAGGAGCATCGGCCAGATGATACAAGTAACTCAGTCCAGGATCAAGATACATTCCCCCACAGCTGGTCACTGTAGCTGGCTCATTTGGGTCAAATTTGCCCCAGTATTGCGATGGGTGAGTAGTTGCGATGGTTCCGCCTCCGAGCCATTGCCAAGTGGAGTCCGGAGCATGGATCAGGCCAATCCAGAACTGCGTGTACTTGGCTGAGAAAATAAAATTTGCTTACTCAAATTTTACTTATTAATCAAAAATTGTAGTGATATATGTCTCCATTCGATTAATTAACACGTATATTACACGTATCAATTAACACGTATTGCATATACATTGAATTCATTGACGGTTTTATTTTTCTGTTCGACTGGCTCAGTCGGGTAATGGGTTATAATGACATGTGTATACAAATCATTTATATTATTGTATGTGCATACACATTAGCATAAGCCATCTGCGTTCAGTTTAAGCGGAATTTGTAAACTAAAAAATAATACTCTACGTAATATAGTTTCCGGAAGCGAGGCTTTCCACAGATATTACGAGCGTATCATAAGTCATATGCTTGGGTCATTTGAAAAGTTTAGTATTATTATGTTAGTTGTACTGATAATAAAACTTATTGTCAGCAGCCGATTAATATACGACTCCGCAATTATTGTCGAAAATCAGGTTATAAACGGAAAAGGGTAAAATTTACTGAAATTCTAACTGTTCATTCCGGGCTTACGGTCGTTATTCAAGAGGTAATCGTGCATTACGTAAAATTTACTCGAAAATGAGCGGTGAAGAGGAAAAAGTCACCTGTTCACTCATATTTTATGTTTCTAGGAACAATCTTAATTGTGACACCAGTAGTTCAAATAAATAGGGCTGATCACCTGTACAGATCTGCTTTATCAAGTCTAAGACATGGCATTTTTTATGGTGTAGAGTTGACTGATTTTTGAAATCGGCATGTGGATGGGATTTCCAACTAGAAACAAGAACAAGAAATACTCGTATTGAGGGGAGTGCTCACTGTACGCACATTTACTATCGTGAATAAATTAGTAAACTATTAACTAATGTTTACTATAAAACTTACAAGTGAAACTCTTCAAGAGGTATTCCCTCATGGTGTTGAAGTCGATCAGGGAGTTGGCGGTGAAGAGTTGGGAGTCGAGGGGACAGGACGCGGCGGCGGCGGTGAAGTTCAGTGCGACGGTGGAGACGTAAATGCAGCCCACGTTGTCCACGAGCGTGAAGCCAGGCAGGCATACCAAGCCTCGTTCCCGATTATAAATAATGTTGAAAATTACTACCTAGTTTTCATTTTAATGCGTATGTGCCTGAACCAGTATATGGATTGAGGTGAAACGCGTTTTTTTGGCCAATTGAAATCTGAACATACACATAAATAAAATCTGTGAGTAAAAATGAGTTTACAACAAATAAATGCGGAATCTTATATTGTTTGAATTGAAAAATCGGGCGAATTGAACTCAACGATGGAGAGAGAAACTAAAAAGAGAGAAAATTCGATATTATAATGCTGAACGCTCTAGGTTGCGTGAAATTTAGTCAATTATTTTAGAAAAAGTATGGATGCGTAAAATATTAATAAAATAATTTTAATGTATGATTTATTGTTTAATAAATAAGTCTATGCAAAGATTGATTTAATCTTAGAACTTGAGTGCAGTGCGCTTTCCTGTGCTTAACAGACATCCCAAGACAATTCAGATAGGCGGGGATTGAGTAAATAGTCGGATTGGCAAATTTTAACCTAAAGTTCTGTTCATGTTCAAATTGAATGAAATGAAGCAAAAAGAAAATTTTTTGAATTTACAATTAACATTCTCGAAGTTATGATTTTTTAATAGATTTTTCTGGAACTACATTTACGTTTGTAGAAAACCTTGCTGCCGAGAGCAGGAACCGTAAGTGTGGTGTTGACGTCAGCGACGGGTTTATCAGTGAAGGAGCAGTGGAAGTGGCGTGGTGGCTGACGCCTGATGGCCACCGCGACGCATGCGTTCCGGCACAGCGCGCGACACTCGCCTGGAAAGGTAAATACTTTTGCACAATAATTCTCCTTTCCAATTTTTGTTCATGAGAAGTTACCATTTGTTCCAAAATTACGTATAATTTCAGTGCGTTTTCTATGAAAATTTTATGCTATTCGATATTCCAATGCGTGTCTTTAACGCGCCGTGCTTTCACAAGTTCAACAACTGTCATCAATTTTGACTACACACTTTTCATCCGTTAACGGTCAATGGGAGTGTATTAAGAAGTTTCAACTTATTGGATCGCACAATTTATCATAGGCTAATATGTTTTTCTCTATAAAGCAAGACGAGTACTAAAACAAAACAAATAAGAAAACAAAACGAATACTTTTTCATGCTACGTTTACATAACTTTTTCATGCTACGTTTACATAAATATCATCTAATTAAACTCACATGGACGCTGCACGACCGCGCTGCTCGAGATCGCAGTTGTGGCAATTTCCGCGCCCATGAAAGTCCTGAACGTATAAGCTGAGCCCTCCTCGATGCTGCAGCAGACGCACAGCAGCGCCCCGAGCGCCGCAAGCAGCGCTAGGTCCATCTTGTTTAGCTTGAATTACTTAAATGCAAGTACCCTTGAACACTCGTATAAATATCATCAAAAGTCTGTTCTACACCTCTTTAAAATTTGTAATAAATATGAAAAACTGGAGGGTTCTAGAGAATTCTTGCCTGTATCATAGATCCTTTTGTCATGTTAAATAGAATTACCATACACGATGCACAAAGAATACATTTAATTGATGTAATATATATTCAATTTCTGTGAGGAGCCCTTTTCATTAAATAGCAAGTTTTTAAAGCTCACAGCAAGTGTTCAAGAAATGTTAAAGAAAATTTTATATATGTAATGCACCATAAGAGATTTGCTCCAATATTTATTGAAGTTGGATGACATGGGGTATTTATAAGACTTTTACCTATTTTACCTTCAGACAATATACTAAAATAAAAATTTAGTTTTGGCCTTAGTTAAGGAATCAGGTTCAATCTCATATATTCATATTTAAGGGAGCGTCTACCCTAAAAATTATCTCGGCTATTTACAGTCGGATCACTCTGAAACTTGGTACACATATGTAAAATGGAAAAAAACTCGCATTTTGTTCGCGTGAATTTTTCGAAAAAAATGAAAGAAAACGTGAAATTCTTAGAAAACGACTATAAAAGGGGGTACAGTAGAAATAGATCTAGTCCTAGGATTTCCAAGCTACAACATCGAGACACATATCATTCGATGCGTGAGGTCTTCATCTACAAAATGTTCATCCCTTTTTTTTGAAATTCCAATTTTTGTGGAAGTGGGGGGCATTTTTCCAAAATGTTCGGAAATTTTTCGATTTTCCCCCCGCCACCCCTTTTTGCAGAATAAAATTCAAACTATAATGAAACTAGAAAAACCGGGATGAACATTTTGTAGATAGTTTATTTGCAAATTGAATGGTATATGTCTCATTGTTGTAGCTTCAAAACTCTAGGAGGAGATAGGTTATATGCGCTCAATGTAGCATAGATTCCAAACTAAACGTTTCTGGAGCTTGATTCCACTCAAGGATGATGGGAGCAACTACATGCGCATCTCTCCCTACAAAGCCCGGAGGCACACTGAGTCAGACCTCACAAAAACACTATATTTGTTGTGGTGGACAGCGAATTAGCTCATATCTAATTACTGAAAGAACTCCCCCCTCCCCGCCCCCATTTCATGAAGTGTCGTTTACGTGAAAATCGACGTACAGAGATGGTAGTGGTACCATTGGATAGGCCAGAATGTCAGCTTAAAGATGAGACTAAACACGTAACTGCAGCACAACTCAAGTAGACACTATATTTAAAGAGCTCAGCAGCTAATTAGTTTCTATCTAATTACTTGAAGAACTCCCCCACCCGCCCCCCTTTCATGAAATGTCGTGAAATCATAAATCAACGTAGAGAGATGGCAGTGGCACCGTTGGATAGGGCAGAATGTCAGCTTTAAAATTAGTATAAAAACCGAAGAAGTAAAAATTTTCAATTTTAGGGTAGACGCTCCCCTTAAGAACAGAGTAAAAATTTTGTAATAAAATGAAAATTCTTGTTTCATTATTTAATTTTTTAAGAAATTATATCATGAACTCTATAATTTTAATCGATCAAAATTGTCTGAAAATTGTGTACAGCGAAAAACATTTTTAACTCTTTCTCCCAATAGAATGCACAGCTTACTGACGCTGCTAAGCAAGTCGACCTGCGCGTGATTAAAATTCAGGTGGTGCATGTGTCGTTGTGATCGATACTCCTCAGATATTGTAAAACTTTTCTAAAAGAGGTTATTAACTTGTAGCTGTGATTGTACGTTCAGAGGTCCATTTCAGAGGTTCTCGTTCTAAATAAACGACACTTAGAATACTCGATCACATCCAATCGTTTGGTTCAGAAACGAAAAATGACGTATATCACATAAGTGAAAATCCTTCAAATGACTCTGATTTTACCTTCTGAAAATAATCCTAAACAAAGAAATTTCATACAATTCACAATCAAACTACTCTTTATCTTACAACTCTTAATCACACCTAATCATGCCATCTCTCTTTCTATCTTGGAGAAATATTGGACCACGTCTGTAATAGAGCGGTTATCGCTCTCTAGCGAGGTGCAGTAATTTTCCTTGCGTGATGGTCATCACAACGAGTATTGAAGAGGGTGGGAATGTGATAGTGCAATGATAGCATTTTTCTCGAAATATGAAATTAAAAAACGCCTGAGAAAATACAATCAATGAATAAGTAAATGCTCGGAAATGTAGGTTAGCGCAATCTCAAACCTATATTGTACAAAGTTGAATAAGGCAACACAGAGAGAAAGTTTCGGCGCCTTAAGCATATCAGTAGGTGATGCACTTGCGAGCTTCGATGCACTTAAATTTGTGCGGCTAACGCCGCGCGGCCATTGGTCAGTGCGCCGCACGGCCATTGGTCAGTGCGCCGAGTGCTCTCACAGGAGGAGGTTGTGTGGAGCCGCCGCTCATGAATGCCTCGAATCTACACTGCATACGGTCAATTGTCGCAGCTCAATTTTGTTAATTGTTTCAACTCACTGCTGTTCTTTTGTCAATAGTAATGTTAACGAACGACGTCTATACCATTCTATCACATAATAAGTTGATCTTAAAATTATAGATTTATTCTGGTAGTACCGCGCGCAACACTAAGCAAACACTGCGACTCTATGTGACTGACGTCTCCGTGGCTCAGTGGGCTAAGGCATAGTCGCGCGCACTCGACTACTGTCTTGGCAGAGGTTCGAATCTCGGCGGGCGGCTAGCAGTTTCTTCAACCAGAGTTCGAAAGAGGTGAGAGCAAAGAGTGAAGTTTCATGATGTTTGTANCATGTCTGCACACTGATCGACATGTCATGTCTGCACACTGATCGACATGTCATGTCTGCACACTGATCGACATGTCATGTCTGCACGCTGATCGACATGTCATGTCTGCTCACTGATCAATATAGTGTTGCTTGCGTGCGTGTAGCGCTGCCACTGACAGGGTTCTTAACTTTTATTCAAGTAAACGTTCGCTGAATTTGATGCTCGTTCCATGTAAGCCATTTACACGCTAAAGTGACGAGAACTTATGGCGGAAATGAAAAAAAAACTCGCTCTCATTTTACATGTAATAAATCAGTGAAGTGTAAGCTCTACAATAAATAAAAGCAACATCATATTTAGAGAAAAAAAATCATTTTACGAAGACGTATTTGGAATTGTGAAAAGACGTCCTCAACGCTGTGATGTTCGCCCGTGTAACTTGATGTCGTACGAAAAGCTACTACATGGGCTCAAGATTTACATTACGTCGATTTGCGAGATATATGGTATCTATGGTATGAAACTACATAATACAGCTCCATTCAGGAATTATAAAATTAAAATTTTATAAACTACAGGACAGGAAGGGACAGGACGCGGCGGCGGCGGTGAAGTTCAGTGCGACGGTGCACTGACAGAAATTTGACTGCTGTTTTGATATACTTAGGTGCATCAAATCATCTCCGAGCGATCGTGCCAAAAGCGAGATACCTACGGCCGCCCGGGTGCATCAAAGAAGTCCAAGTATATCGAAATTAGGAATTTCGATATACGCGCATGCATCATTGTGAAAATAAATCTACGGAGTATGAGACCTTCTTTTCAGGATTTCTGCAATGTCCTTGCCCACTTTCGAGCGCCTGATGAAAGCATTCTATCATATTCTACTCTTCCGGTCGATCCGTCTAATCCATGGCCGCCTCCCTACTAAAATTATGAAAACTATATTTCTCCGTCACTATTTGATTTCAACGCTTTTCTCCGTCGCAGCGGAATTAGTCACATATTTATTCCTTCTACACATATTTATTACACGATTTATATCGGTATGTACAAACATCATGAAACTTCACTCTTTGCTCTCACCTCTTTCGAACTCTGGTTGAAGAAACTGCTAGCCGCCCGCCGAGATTCGAACCTCTGCCAAGACAGTAGTCGAGTGCGCGCGACTATGCCTTAGCCCACTGAGCCACGGAGACGTCAGTCACATAGAGTCGCAGTGTTTGCTTAGTGTTGCGCGCGGTACTACCAGAATAAATCTATAATTTTAAGATCAACTTATTATGTGATAGAATGGTATAGACGTCGTTCGTTAACATTACTATTGACAAAAGAACAGCAGTGAGTTGAAACAATTAACAAAATTGAGCTGCGACAATTGACCGTATGCAGTGTAGATTCGAGGCATTCATGAGCGGCGGCTCCACACAACCTCCTCCTGTGAGAGCACTCGGCGCACTGACCAATGGCCGTGCGGCGCACTGACCAATGGCCGCGCGGCGTTAGCCGCACAAATTTAAGTGCATCGAAGCTCGCAAGTGCATCACCTACTGATATGCTTAAGGCGCCGAAACTTTCTCTCTGTGTGGAGACGTAAATTCAGCCCAAGTTGTCCACGAGCGTGAAATTGGCCCGGAATCCCTGGCCTGTTAACAATATATTTGAAGCAAATCTAAAAGAACGAATATGACAGTTATACCTTAATCAGACTGGTGCAAAGTTATCGCTATGGAAAAACCAATACATTTAAAGGGAATAATATATATTTTTGAATCGTTACTATCAAGCTTGAGCAGTACGTTACATGGAACATGATTTACGCTTGTAGAAAACTCGTGATTCATATGCAGGGACCACAAGGCCATAGGTGTTTTCTTCAATCATTGTTTTGGTGAAGGAGCAGTGGAAGTGGCGTGGTGGCTGACGCTCAATGGCCACACGACACTCGCCTGAAAAGTTAATATTTTCACCACAATCATTATTTGAATTGTTCTACAAATACCGATACATGAACACGTACATTTTATTTCTACAATGATCAATCCAAAATACAACATTTGTGTCATCTATGTAATTAAACTCACACGGACGCTCCACGACCGCGCTGCTGGAGATCGCAGTTGTGGCAATATCCGCGCCCATGAAAGTCCTGAACGTATAAGCTGAGCCCTCCTCGATGCTGCAGCAGACGCACAGCAGCGCCCCGAGCGCCGCAAGCAGCCGCAAGTCCATCTTGTTGAACTTGATTTACTTGCCAAGGAG